CACGCGCCAACGGACGAGAGCTTTGCGGCGATGATTATGAGCTCGTTGCCGAGCAGCTACGACCCGCACCTATCAGCATTAACGGCATCAGCCAAAGTCTCAAGTGTCAAACTTACCGCTGACACGCTGATATCGACAATCGTCGACAAATACGACCGTTGAGCCTCAAAGTCGAAGAAGGCAGGATCCTCGAGTGACGACGCCGCCTACAACACGAATGCAGGTCAGCGTACTCGAAAGATAAAAGGAAACTGCCATAATTGCGGCAAATATGGACATATGCAAAAGGATTGCAGAGGTCCAGGAGGTGGAGGAGTTGGAGGCAAGGGAAAGTCAGATTGGAAGGGCAAAGATAAGAAGCCCGAAACTGCTGCCAGCGCCAAGGATAAGGAGAAAGACGACGAACCTGAAGGAGTGTGGTTAGCACACGAGTCAAACGCATCGAACAAACAAACATCGTTCACCTATGCAACACTAACTGACTCAAGCAGGAAAAACAATACTCGGATCGAGTTATTCGACTCCGGTGCCTCACGGCACATGTCGTCGTATCAAGACCTATTCCAAGACTTCGTCAATATTGCCCCAAAGCCTATCACCACTGCCAACAAACACACCTTCGAAGCGATCGGCAAAGGGAACATAACGATCTTGCTGCCAAATGGGGAGTCACGCACCCGAATACTCCTCAAAGACGTGCTTTACGCACCTAAGATGGGTGTAACCCTCGTGTCAATTAGCCGTCTAGCAGCCGCCGGATGTGCTGCGTTATTCCGAGAGAACACCTGCAAAATATTCAATGATAAGAAATGGCTAATGGGGGAGATCCCAGTCAATAGAGGTCTATACTGTATCAAAGGAACAAACAGTACCTTCGCAGGGGTAGCAAGCACAAAAGAAACCCTAGCCATGCGCGAAATCCATGCGCGACTCGGACATATGGCGCCAAGTACCATCACACAGATGATTCGTGATGATGCAATCATCGGAATCAGTCTAGACCCATCTGACGCAACCATGGATAGTTGCGAGTCGTGCGAATACGCAAAGGCCACACGTAAGGCAATAGGCAAGGTTCGAGACCCTCCAAGGCGCGAGAATTTCGGGGACGAGGTGCACAGCGACCTCTGGGGCCCCTCGCCCATTCGTACTCCTGGACAAAAGGAGTATTTTGTATCGTTCACGGATGATCACACAAGGTTTACGCACCTCTATCTCCTCAAGTCCAAAGACCAGACTTTCGACGCCTACACTAAATTCGAGGCCTGGGTAGACACACAATTCAGCGCAAAGATCAAGCGTTTTCGTTCCGACCGAGGAGGCGAATATACTAGCGAGGAGTTCACTCAGCATCTTAAGTCAAAGGGGACTGAACGCAAACTCACCGTGCATGATACGCTGGAACACAACGGTGTTGCTGAGCGGCTAAATCGAACTGTCGTCGAACGAGCGCGCGCGCTACTTCATGCTAGCGGGCTACCAAAACACTTGTGGGGGGAGGCTATAATGCACGCTGTAGAGACTCGTGCCTCGCATTGTGTGATATGGCACTTTCCACTAGGGAGTACACAGCACAACTTGCAGCATCACTCTGTGTGCTATCCACAGCTATTCCCTTACGAGGCGCAGCTTTCCCACGCAATGCGCAGCATGCGCGCACGACTTCCCGCGCTTTACGATGTATACGCGCGCGCGCTTTCCCGCGCTTGAGCGCCCTATAGCGCCAGCCATCCAGAAGCATCCATCCACTGTCCACCAAGCTCTCTAGTGCGTATATTCCCATTTCTCTTATTTACATATCGTTCCACCTCTATTTTTACCATGGACCCTTACTTACATATATCTTTACATACCTACTCGGTAGCGCTTCGGCTCCGCATGACAGCGCTTAGGCGCCATATAAGCGCCAGCAGTACATATTATTAGACACTTTACTTTCCAACAAGAACTTTACCTCCCACTTACCACCCACATACTACCTAGGAGAACATAGTAGAAATCTATTCTTTGACACCTCGCGCTCGTATCTCTTGTCTAGTATCTAATCACCCCTTAAGCAAACTCACTCTTACTCTCTCTCATTACCGCTCACACACGCGCGCTTCCCGCACCTCGCGCGTACCTTCGCTTTCCCGCGCCTTGTGCGCACCTGCGCACTTTCTCGCGCTTCGCATCAGCCGACCAGTAGCGCCTTCGGCGCGCACTACTAGATCCTTGCTGCACTCGCTTCCCCTTTAGGGTCGAACGCACTTGTCGTCTCAAGTATAGCAGACTAGGCAACGCGCGACCTCACAACATTTACAGATACAGTCTGGAGCATCATTTGTTCCTCACAGTATTGTTGTTTCTACAACGCGACGTGGTTGAAGAACCGAACCGTCACACGTGCATTGAACAATAAAACTCCCTATGAAATGTTATTTAAGAAAAGGCCCAACTTAGGGAACTTACCTGTCTGGGGGAGCCGCGTCAAGGTACACACTACCGACGGCTCCAAGCTGGACATGCGCGCGATTGAAGGCAGATGGGTGGGCTTTGATTCAGAAAGTAACGGACATCGAGTCTACTTGCCCGATACCCGGCGTATAGCTGTCGAGCGCAGCGTGCGTTTCGACACAGCAGAGGTAAGAATACCTCTAGAAGGATCTGAGAAAGGGGGACACCACACGGTACGAACCGATGATGTCGGTTCAACAACCCCGTCAATGGTCAGCCACACGGCACGAACCGATGATGTCGGTTCAACACTCACCGTCAGATCACAAGCCCATAACCCCAATCCAACTCCTCCTTTCGACCACCTAGGCCCACAGTTCGAAGGTACAGCGCCTCCACGTCGATCTGGCCGAGTGAGAATCGAGTCAGCATACATAAAGAGCCTGCGCGATGGCACAGGTACAACGGACGGTAGTAGCACAAACTTACCTCGCGGAATGCAGTCTGTGGAAGAGTCCAGCAACTTGGCCGCAGAACTAGGAATGGTGGGGGAGTATGGTGAGATGGATGAGGATGACGAAGAAATATTTGCGATGATGGCAGGTGTAGAGGCTGTTGAAGGAACGGATCCCACGACCGTCAAAGAGGCAAGCGTCAGGACTGATTGGCCTAAATGGGAAGGCGCGATCAATAAGGAACTTGACGCGTTGGAAGACGCACGTACCTGGACTGTTGTTGAACGTCCGGACAACGTGAATGTTGTCGGATGCAAGTGGGTGTTCCGACTAAAACGAAATGCTGATGGGGAAATTGAGAAGTACAAGGCACGTTTAGTAGCGAAAGGGTACTCACAAGTTTATGGCCTCGACTACTATGACACCTATGCGCCAGTGGCACGCCTTGCTTCCCTTTGCACGATCCTCGCCATCGCAGCACGACAAGATTGGGACATAGACGTTTTTGATTTCCATAGCGCATTCCTAAACGGGAAATTAGACGCTGATGAGGTAATCTACATGGAACTCCCACCTGGTCTCAACGTCGATGGCAAGTTCAAACGTCCCGTCGCTTGCCTTCACGTTGCTCTCTACGGATCCAAACAAGGCGCTCTCAAGTGGTATCAGGAGCTGTGCCGGCTACTTTTTAGCCTAGGTATGAAGAGGGCAGAGTCAGACTGGGGAATATTTTACCAGCATATAGGTGCGGATATCCTTGTCCTCGCATCTCACGTTGATGATTGCACGCTCACCGGCAGCAACAGTGATCTCGTAGCACGTTTTAAGCGCGACGTAGCCGCTCGCTACATGCTTACGGACCTCGGACCTATCGCGTCCTTGCTTGGGATGAAGGTAATGCGCGACCGTGTCGCGCGCACCATCTCCTTCTCCCACGAGACTTATATCGACTCTATCCTTGCTAAGTACAATTTTACGGACTTTAAGCCTTGCTCGATCCCCATGGACCCAAACATACCATTGTCCACGTCGCAATCGCCAAAGATGCCTGCGGAGACCAGCTTCATGAAGAATATTCCGTATCGTGAGGCCGTCGGGTCACTGATGCATTTAGCTGTCGGAACGCGTCCAGATATCGTGTTCGCAGTCTCAACTGTCGCGCAGTATGGCTCGAACCCAGGAATGCCGCATTGGGAAGCTGTGAAAAAGATTTACCGGTACTTGGCGGGCACGAAGAAGTTCGCACTCACTTTCGGCGATGGAAAACGTGGACTCGAAGGGTTCGCAGATGTGGACGGCGCCTCGCAAGAGCACAGGCATGCGGTGTCCGGATACGCCTTCATTCTGGATGGAGGGGCTGTAAGCTGGAGCTCGAAGAAGCAAGAGTTAGTCACGTTGTCCACGACGGAAGCTGAGTATGTCGCAGCTACGCACGCTGCTAAAGAAGCAATTTGGCTTCGTCGTTTTATTACCGAAATCTTTCGCCCGCTCACACAACCAATCACGCTCTATTCCGACAATCAATCGGCCATCGCCCTCGCCAATTCTGGCGCATTTCACGCGCGCACGAAACACATCGATATTTGTTACCATTTTATTCGTTTTTCTGTTGAAAACGGCTCTATTTCTCTTATTTACTGTCCTACTGATAGTATGACCGCGGACACACTCACCAAGCCCCTTCCTAGTCTCAAAGCTAAACACTTTGCCTCCGCCCTCGGCCTACGCTCGGTTTGAGGGGGAGTGTCGTATATCAAACCTTCGTCATGGACACTCGGCACCGTTCATTTCGTTCGTACCTATATATTCTCGTTTATTCCCGCGCCTCGTAGCTACCTCAGTTGACTTCATACGTCGCTGAGGTCAGTATTATATTCATACTTAGTACCTATGTAACTAACACCAGCTGTAGCTATCTGCTACAGGTATACCAATATGACAAGTTGACTTCGTACGTCGCTGAGCTATCTGCTACACTCCGGACCAAAGTATTTCCCCCCTGACATTCTACAGGAAGACATGGACTTAGAACGAGCCTTGGACTTAATACCGTATAAACCTGATCCACCCTCTCCACCCTCCCCACCGAGCCCGCAATCCCCCCCTGACATGCCTACCCCCACATCCCAGGGGAACCGCGTACACCCACCTCACCCCGACCTCCTTGTATACCAGGATTTTACAGTAACTACATCCCATGCTGACGACGACAAACCTCCAAGCAGCGATCTTGCTAGCTCGATCCACGCGCCAAACAACTCCAAAGGAGATCACCTCATGAGCGCCCCGCCAAGTCCCACCATTAGACACGCACCAACCGCTGAAGAACAAGCTATCCTAGACCATCTAGCATTGGCTGACATGAACAGGTCTGTACTCAGCCAAAACGGCCAGACCAATCGTGCAACCCTACCCCAATTCACACCGGTACCCAATGGGGGATTCCCAGCAGTGCACATGTCCCACTCGGCACAAATATTTGACCACCTCGACAACAGAGTCCTCCTCGCCTGGTTCCAAGTCAAACACCCTAAGTTCTTAGTACGGGTGTTCGACCACTCAGGAAAAGACGTAGCGGAACGTGCTGCCATCCTTGCAGAACGCATTCGCACTAGCATATCCACCATCGCAGAGTTTGTCCAAAAAGATGCTCCCCCCGTACGCGTCTCCCCTCCGCAACCCCAGGGAGGGAGAGAAGCGAAGCACCTCCCGACGGGTTTCCTGGTCCACAAAGTAACAGAAGAGACCAGGAACCTGATCCTGAATCAACGCATCTGGTCTACCATGGACCTCACGTTTGAAGCTCTCCCATTCCACTGCAACCACCCCCCAGAACTACTGTTCTGTCTATCCGGATTCACGACCCTAGACTCTGAGACCATCCTCCAGACCGTCAACGACACCTGGTCTCGCGAGGAAAACCGCTCCCACATCGAAGAGCTTTTCTCCAAGTGCAGCCTCCCAGATGGAGTGCCCACCTATATAGCCACCCATAACTTTATCGAGTCCGCCCGTGTTGAACTCCTCGATTTTAAGATAACGGGGGGCTATCTGTCCCACGCTTTAATGTCCTCGCTGCCAGTCCCACCAACGACGCTAAAACATGGATGAACCTGCGAAGCTTCTTGAGCGCCCTCAATTACCCAACTAGTCTTGACGGCTGCGGAATAGCGACAGCCCTCTCTGCGTGCCAGATCTGCCATTCGCTGGCCCACCCAAAAGGATTATGTCCGTTCCCGCTCGTCACCCTCTGGAACGGCCCAAGAGCGGGCAATAGGAATAATGGAAATGGACCACGCCAACCTGGAAGGACCAGAGGCGGAAATGGGAGACCCGGTCGCAACATTGGATATACCACATAACTACGCACCATGCCAAAAAGTCCTACCTACCTATCTGTAACTTGATGTAACAAAACCTAACCCCCCCTCAGCCCGTACATGTACCCAACCCACCTGCCAAGCCTAGCCACCTACCCCAGTCTACATACACCAATTCCAGTCCTTTTTGAACATACGAACCAACACCCATCAAACAACAATATGCCGCAACGGTTCCAACTTAGGCCCGGTTCCGAAAGATCAAATGAGCCGTTGCGAACGTGAGACAGGTTTGAGTGAGACACAAGCCATCAAATTAAGACCCCTTTGCCCAAATATACTGATCGTGAAAACGAGACAGGAAAGCAGGAGTCGTCTCAAAACAGCATGGTGCAAACCAGACCACAGAAACCTATTTAGGTTCGGACGAGCCGTGCTGAGAGGCTCAAGTTTTCATTAGTAGGTGTTACCAGTGTCCTGGGCACTGTTAAACATCGAAAACGCTAACATAGTCCACTGCTAATGGGCCAGATATGTCGATTCTAAGTCTACATAATGATCATAACGTAGTCTTAGTAGCACGATCACCCCAAACACTCAATTAAACCCCCCTAGTCACGGTCTTTTTGTTGGTAACGGTGCAGGCATCCCAAGTAGCAGAGGAGGACCTCCTTGAACCACTGGGAAAACCTCCGATGACCGCTCTCGGGACTTTGGAAGTGGACACGCCTACCAACGGCACCCCCAATCACAACATCAACCTCAACCTCAAACCGGAGGCCCACCAGCACCAAGCACGGCCGCCCACATCCCCCGCAACCAAACACAAGAACCTGTCAACAGAAACGGAAGCGCCGCAACATCAATAAATATAGTAAGAAACACCAACCGAAACCAACCAACGCACCAGGTAAATGCCAACACGAACGAGCACAAAAGAACTAGGGCAAACATTAGAATAGCTACACTAAATATAAGAGGATGAACCTCAGCAAACCTCGCGCAGAATGCAATATCCAAATGGACAACAGTAAATCAAACAGTAAGAGACAAAAAGATTGGCGTACTATGTCTGCAAGAGACTCACCTGACCACAGACCACCAGAACCAAATTGATACTCTATTCTCCCGACGTCTACGTGTCCTAAGCACAAGCGACCCAATTAGACCAGGCAACTCAGCCGGAATTGCCTTCGTACTGAACAAAGAGATAACAAACACCGCGGATGCCACTATGAGAGTCTTGATACCAGGACGAGCAGCAGTCTTATCCCTAAAATGGCACAATAATGAGACAATCAATATACTAAATATCTACGCACCAAATAACGCAAACGAACACCGAAACTTCTGGGAAAAAATCAACTCCGAATGGTCAAGGACACACGCCGGTACTATAGACCTCATGGTAGGAGACTTTAACATCACCGAAGAACCAATAGACCGAGCCCCCGCACGATACGACCACGAATCAGCCACTGAAGCCCTGAGAGAACTAAGATCAGCACTAAACCTACAAGACACATGGTGCCTTGAAAACCCAAACCAAAGAATGTTCACCTTCAGTAGCAATCACAATTCGCTATCACGCCTAGACAGAATTTACACCTCAACACGCCACTCAGAAAGTATGATAGACTGGGACTCACATATCAGCCACATCCCGACAGACCACCACATGGTGTCGGTAAGGTTCGCACCGCCCGGATTACCGCACATAGGAAAGGGAAGATGGTCGTGGCCAATAGGAATAATGACAGACGAAAACCTAATCAAAAGAATCGTGAGATTAGGGATCGAAACCCAACAAACACTGGAGGAAATGAACGTACGAGACAACACATCCAATCCGCAAAAGTCTTGGAGCACCCTCAAAACAAAAATAACCGACATAGCGAAAGAAACACTGAAAATACACCTAGGAAAAGTCAACCAACGGATACGGACATTAACGAAAGACCTATGCAAAATAACAAACCTAAACAATATAGACTCCTCTGAAGACACTAGAATAAACCGGATCATCATCGAGAAAGAAATAGAACACTTACAAAAGAAACAAAACAAAAAAGCACAACTAAAAGCCCAGTCACAATGGGCGTCACAAGGCGAAAAAATAAGCAAATACTGGTCAAAAATAAATAGTCAGAAAAAACCTAGAGACATAATATATAGACTAAACATACCTGGAACCAGAAGATACACCACGAAATCAGAAGAAATGGCCGAAATAGCGAGAACATACCACGAAAACATACAAACAACTGACAATTCCCAACACCATGAACATACTCAACAGAATGCGAGAAGAACATCACTAGCAGAAATACCGGCAAGTCAGAAGATCGAAGCACAAACGAACCAATTAAATGAACTCTTACAGGAAGAACATGTTCTCAACGCACTAATGTCTTCGAAATCTGGAAGTGCCACCGGTATCGACGGAATCCCATATGAACTGTGGAAACACCTTCACGGCAAATACACAGAGGCAAGTAAGGAAGAACAGCCAGGATTCAATATAATTAAAATGCTCACCACCGTAATGAACGACATTCAACTCCACAGGGTCAACCAGGACTCGGACTTCACCCTAGGATGGATGTGCCCGTTATATAAGAAAAAGGACCGCACTAGAATAGAAAATTACTGACCCATAACACTATTAAACACAGACTATAAGATACTCACCAAAGCTCTCGCCATTCAACTAACCAAAGACATACACCGACTAATCCACCCGAACCAGAGCGGCTTCATCAAAGGGCGATCCATTTTTGACCCGATCCGCTTAGCCCAAACGATGACCGCTTATGCCGACCTAATGGAAGAAAATGGCGCAATAGTAGCCCTTGATCAAGAAAAAGCGTATGACAGAATCAAACACTCTTACCTGCTCGAAACGTTAGAAGCATTTAACCTCCCACCCATGTTCATAAATACTGTCAAAACATTATATCAATCAGCGTATACACGAGTGGCAATAAATGGTTTCTTGAGCTCACCGTTCCAAGTAACACGTGGAGTGAGGCAAGGCGACCCATTGTCCTGCCTGTTATTCGACTTAGCAATAGAACCTTTGGCCTGCGCACTACGCAACTCACCGAAAGTGAAAGGATACCAAATCCCTGGCATACGAGAACGAGTGAAAGTCAATATGTACGCAGACGATACCACGATATACCTCTCAAAAGATGATAAATATTCAGACCTAGAAACAATCTTACAAACATGGTGCATAGCTTCAGGCGCGAAATTTAACATGGAAAAGACTGAAATACTACCTATCGGAACAAAAGAACACCGAGCCTCAGTATTACAAAACAGAAAACTAAATAACCTTGACGCACCTTGGCAAGACCAAGTCAGAGTAGCCAAAGACGGCAACCCTATAAGGTCACTTGGGGCCTGGATAGGCAACGAAACAGAACAAGCAGCATCATGGGAACTGACACTAACGAAGATCGAGAGCAACCTTAAGAGATGGAATATGGGACACCCCTCCCTCGATGGGAAAAAGCTGATCATCCAAATGGTAGTCGGCGGAATGACGCAATTCCTCACAAAGGCGCAGGGAATGCCTAAAAGTATCGAGAACGCCATCACCAAATTAGTAAGAAACTTTATATGGAACGGAAAAATAACCCCACCAATAAGCACAGGACGTCTGGAACGACCCATCGCCGAAGGAGGCCTTGGTCTCCTAAATATCAAAATAAGGAACGAAGCGATCGACATAACATGGCTACAGGCCTACATGGACATAACACATCGCAGACCAGCATGGGCTTTTGTCGCTGATGCCATAATCAACACCTTAAAGCCGGAAGGAATCACCAACAACGCGGACTTACGAACATTCCTAACATCATGGAACCCCCCCGCAAAAGGGAAACGAGCGAATAAACTGCCGTATATAATAACAAATATGTTAAAAACTGCCAAGAAACACCATGTAAGCTTCGCACCTCTGAAAATCTCCGACAACCTCAAGAACCAACTCCCCGCCTGGTTACACTTAGGCGCGCCTCCAAGAACTTACCACAAAGCAAAAAACAACTGCCTGCGACAAACACACTAAGTGACATCAGTAAGACACCTAAGAAACATGGCTGAACGAATAACAAACCAAATCACTCACCAACCGCAAGCCACATGCACATGCACCGAATGCATCAATGACAGACTAACAGGATGTAAGAACCCCCACCATTGTGCAAAGACAGCGCAAAACATACTAGATAGCCTCCTCCCGAAATATAACCCCAATACGACACCTAGAAAAGACCACTTAACGCTAACACACAGACGCTTGGAGAAAAACGCACAAGCTCGCACACAACCGGAGGGAGAAAGCCTCTTCAACCCCTCCATCACAATACGGAACAGTCTGACAGACTGCTTCCGCATTTTTGTGGACCCATCGAGACCGGTCCAAATACCAGCCTACAGACTACGTGTCCCACTTAATGGGAGACGAACGAACGACGACACACTCACCATCTTCACCGATGGTTCATGCACCAACAACGGGAAATACAACGCAAAGTGCGGAGGAGGAATCTGGATCAAAGAGAATCACCCGATGAATCGCGAAATTAGCATGCCCGGAGCGCACCATTCAAACCAGATAGGAGAGCTTGTGGCAGTACTAATAGCACTGCAAACCGCAAACCCACTAACACCTGTCAAAATAGTAACAGACTCCACATATGTAATAAATGGCCTAAATACCCACCTCGATGACTGGGAGAATGCCGGGTGGATCAATGTGGCAAACGCCCAAATATTCAAAGCAATAGTGTACCAACTACGCCGACGCTCGGCGCCAACCAGCTTCCAATGGGTTAAGGGACACAGTCAAATAACAGGAAATGAAAAAGCTGACCAACTCGCCCATAATGGCGCATCAAAAACAACCACCGACACCATAGACACATACGTGCCAAGGAACTTTGACCTCCAAGGCACGAAACTGTCAAAAATCAACCAAAAAACAGCGTATAATGCGTTAATGATAAAAAAACACATAGACTACAAAAGACCGACCTTAGGCATGCTAGACATCACACGATACGCAGTTGAAACACTGACCACAACACTAGAGACAGATGAAACGATATGGCGAGGATGCAGAAACAACAATCTCTCCAAAAAAGTCCAAATCTTCCTGTATAAAACGCTAAATAATGTCTTCCGAATCGGGGAGTTCTGGGCACAAATACCCACTTTCGGGCACCGAGCGTGATGCCAATCCTGCGGGGAAGAACCAGAATCAATGGAGCACATATTAATCCAATGCACTAACCCAATAAGAAAGAGAATTTGGGACTTAGCGAAAAACCTCTGGCCAAATAAACATAGCCCTTGGCCCGAACCCTCTCTAGGACTCATCTTAGGGAGCGGCAACATATCGCTCCCAAGGAACGCCCAAGCCCATGACGAAAACGACAAGAAACGCGCCGCGATAATAAAAGGGGCATCACGCCTCCTAAAAATCCTAATCTCAGAGTCAGCTTATCTTATATGGGTAGTAAGGTGCGAACACGTCATTCGGGACCAAATACATACCGTTGAACTCATCTCGAAACGATGGACAAATATCATGAACCACAGGCTACAACTGGACCGAGCGACAGCATGTAAATCAAAGCGATCAACCAAAACAACGTCAGAAATCTACAATACATGGGCTGATGTAATCGAAATAAACAATGACAAATACAAAACAGGAAAAGACTGGGTGAACGCCCTAGAGGTTTTAGTGGGTATTAAACTACCCCGGCCCCCGCAGACCGAGGTGTCCAGGTAGTATACGGAGCCCCACACTACTCCCAGAAACGGAGTGTGCATAAGTAGCATTTTCCCTCGGACGACGCCAGTGCGTCGCTATAAGCGTTTTATTTAGGGCTAGACAGCGTCAGTTGCTGAATAATAAACTCGCTTTTCCAAAAAAAAAAAAAAAGGAAACGACCACCATTCGAAAGTGTTCCCACACATCAAGCTTGATGTGTGCAATAAAATTTTTAAAAGTACACGAAATCAACACGAAGTCACCGGTAAACCGGCGAGACTCAGATATTAGTCGATAATATTGTAAGCTCAATGCTTCTTTCCTCTACATAAACACCGCGCGGAACTTGATCCAACTGACAAGACTCGGCTCCAGGGCTCACGTTCGTTGAGTATCTGGCACGAGTCCTCAATATTCAATATCGGACATTCTCACTGCTACGAGATCAGATAAAGTCTTCGACTGCATGACTGCATATATACCTTCAACCTAACTGGATTCTTGGACAGAGCGCAAACACTCGCTGACCAAATGTACTTAGCCGAGTAGAGGTAAGAGCTACGACATCTTTCCTTGCACCTGTTCTAAGCAAGGTAGGCTGGAGCGTCAGATTTTGCTCCCTGTGAACACCTATGCTAGGTTTCAGTGAATCAAATATTGGCAGATATATTGCTGCACGCTTCAGGACTCCATATTGGTAATGTTACAGGTGAGCTAAACAACGGTCTACTAGGGTGCAGGAACATACTCGAATTTCTTTCCTTCTTCGTGCTCCAAGAGCTGAAACTCGACAAATCCATTAAACCAGCCCGCCGCCTCAGATCCAAGGCGTTCCCATGTGTTGGCTGCTTCAACTGGATCAATAAGCCGCGGTTTCAGTCCACGCGCCGCGGCGGCCTGGTCCACTACCATTTGGACCTTGCAGCACTTTTCCAAAGAGATGAAATAGAAAACGGTAGATTCAATTGACTTGGTGGCAACGAGGATCCCGTGGTTCTACACGATGGAGCATGATAAGCAGGTGAGAACGTTTGACTGAGCTCTTAGAGATACCTGGAGGATGACAGCCTAGTAGAATCTTGTGAGCATCGACACATGTAAATCAACGCATCTGCAAACCTTGTTTGAACCCAGAGCATTGGCTATAGCCAGACCTTCCTCGCGGTCATCGACGACGCCACGAAATTCGCTATACAGACTATGATCCTATAGGTTCATTTTGATTAAACGGTATGTATTTTTAAGAACGGATGAATGCAAGATCACCTCATAAAACGCAAGGCTGTCCTGAGTAAGAGGATCAAGAGGCACCCCAAGAGCGCTGAATGCCTTAGCATACGTAGTGTGCGAATGCGCAGCGCAGATAGCATCTGGGCGAGCTTCATGAACCGCTGAATGGATCATGTACGCGGCCTGGTTGAGGAACCGGGAAGGTCCAGATTCATTTTCCTGTATCTTCCCTCCGTGATCTACGAGAAGGAGGTCCTCAGGCTGCAGGAGCTTGAAGTGAATGCCCTGTTGCAATTTGGTGAATGATGATTTTTATATCGGGCACGATGATCAATCACCCAGGGGTTGACCCAGTAACAATCTGGTCTGATCGGGTCCTTTCGACAAAGCAATTAGAAATGACATGCACAGCATCATATCAGCGTCACTCTTACCCGGACAGTAATATGTCCAGCAACCCCTTCATCAAAACGGTACTTTGCTGCATTGATATGATAACGATGGGTGTTCCTGTGACGATTAAAACAAATGGAGCTTACCAAAGATACGATATGCTTGAGCCAGGCGAAATTTCAGGAACGCTCGGTGTTCGAGCGGGTCAGAAAACGTGGGAGGAGCCGGTAGGGTGCTCATCCAGATATCAAGCTTGCTGGCGTCTTTCAATGGTGCGGCCATAGTAGTAGATGTGGGGTTCCAAACGGAGCTCTGATACTTATATTTGACCCTGCCAGTAAGCGCTGGCAAGCTTCTTCATCGTTATCATCACGAGTTGCCCCAGATGTAGGCTCGTGACTAGCCTAAGCATTGATCGCAAGCCAGCTGATCGTGCTCACACACATACAATGTGATCTCCTCGGGCCGACCACGTAGAATCAAGATACATAATCGACCCCTCTCTTTGAATGACACTCCCATCTGAGATTAATCCAAGTCTATGATCGGGTGCTTGATAAATATACCCGGAGTAGCATAACCCTTGACGTCCGGAAGATTCTCTACCGACACTTGATGCGTCTGGGTTGTCTGCAAAAATGTGTTTGACGTGTGTTCAAAGATCGACTCGGAGACGCACCAAAACTTGACAATCATCTGTACCATCGTCCTGTGGTGCCCATCTGATCTTGGAATTTGGTCCGAATCGCACCCAGTCCCAAGACTTTGATCGACCGAATTTCGGATAGTACATACCAAATTCTGTAGCGCCGTAGCAACAAGAAAGCTTGATCCCAGGGTATTTCCCGTCTTAGGCGCAAGAGGACCGCCACCATAGATCTGCATTGGTATCAACGTGAGTCATTCCTTGTCACAGCATCGATAATAAACTTACAACATATTCGAGGGTCTTCAGAACATCGGTAGCACTCGGCGAAAACGCCCATTGTTCCAGAAAGACAGGCACGACTACCTTCGGTTTCGTCTTGAGTACAGAGTCCAGGATGTTGTGCAAGTTGGGTACTACGGTGATCGCCAAGGGATCGAGGAAGGATGTAGGCGGCTAAATAGACACACTGCTCAGGGCGGCGATAGGGGTGAGCAGCTGAAAATATATACCAAAGGTATGAAATGATGGCAAAGACGCAGCGGCGATACGGATAGGAATGGGCAGGTTAACGAGGTCGAGGATAGATGCTAACGGTACTCTATCTCAGCATTATTCGCTGTGCGGATTATTTTACCGACTCACGCGTTAGGCTTACTTATTGGAATGGGTTTTGTGAAGCCAGTGCTGCCAGAGGAGTGCAGGTAGAATAATATCGTTCTCAGACGACGGCGGACCTAGGGAAGACGGGACAATAGCCTCGTTGGGAGTACCACTAACGAGTGATGGGTACAGGTGTTTCAGCGCCGGAATCTCGTCAATCTGCAGCTGGCTTGTTTGAGTGGCAGACATAAGACATGCTTCGACTCCGTCGATTAGGGAAGCAAGAGAGTGCCGAGTCGTGATTAAACGACGGCATTTTGTTTTCTGCATCATGCTCGTGACTGCCGCCGCCGAATTACGAGGGGACACGAGGAATGGCTTGAAATAACAGTAATCAGAAACCCAATCATTCAGAAAATCTATGTACACACAACTAGCCCAGCGAATATTATGCCCATGAATACTGTCTGATAAAGAAGAGTGTCTGACTTCGCGATGAGGGCGACCACTTCTTTGTCTGCGCCTGCGGAGGCTGGTCTGATTGCCTGGGCGGCCCGATGACAAGCTCGATAGAAGTCTGAATGAGAGATAGAGACCAGGTCATTGCTGTCAGGTTTGTCATAGACAAAGAAAGTGACGTCCGAGTGATGTTGCGCATTGAATTGAATCAATTAAGGGAGGGACAGAGATCCATCGAGAAGAGGGTAATGACACAACCTCGATGACACGGAGCGACCATGATTTGAATGATTGTAGACACCTGGGCTGACTGTTGATACGACACCAAGTGCACGAATAAGTAGTCATTTTCAAGCGGCATCCCGGAGAAAATTCGGCAACAATGATTTAAATTGAACTTACTGGAAAAACAAACGCGACCGGCTACGGGTCTACATGAGGCGGCGTACGTAGTATGATGTCGGATGGCGACCGAGAGGGCTGTTTTAATTGGTGTCAATGTATGAGATAGTCTACTGTATTAGGATGTGGAGATAATACCTTGTACATAGAGATAAATGTCTGCCAAAATGCCTCGTGGATCACCTGGAGTGATAAATAATGGAAGGACGGACTCGATCTGACGCCGGTAAACGAAGAATTCATGCAGTGAGCCTGTGGCCCTGTGCAATGAAGCCGGAGCTACACTCCAGTTGGAAGCCTTGTGCTCGATATTTGACTACATTGGAATATCACCTAAGAAAACCAAAAGTGAAAAAAGCAAGCGAGAACAAGCGCGTGCTACATACTAGTAGTAGCAGATTTCGGCATCGTCTCTGCGCTGAGAGTGGGGATGGGCAACGCCTGCAAACAAAGCCGACCACTGTACTGTCACCAATTTTTTTCGAAAGTGTTCCCACACATCGAGGTATAGGTGCCTGAGGATTTGGATTCCCTCCTCCCACATTTCGTGGGAAGTCGGGGAGTACACAAACACCAAGTCATCAGTAAACCGGTGAGACTCGGATATTAGTCGATATTGTAAGCCCTTAATACTTCTCTCCTCTACATAAACACCACGCGGAACTTGAGCTTCTCGACATCGATGTGGCCGGCCGCGCTGTTCCTAGTAGAGGGTTGACGGTCCCGACGTTATCTGGACGCAGGGGCAGTATCACGGTGCTTAGCATTGAGGTTCCAGACTCAGAAGGTGCCAGCGACGGTGAAGGTGTATAGGTTACCTGAAAGAACATATTCTCGCTCGTAGACTTTGCACCCGCACTAGCATTCATTGGTGTCGGAAGAGAGTCGCCTGGAACTACAATCCCAAAGTCGCGTTGTAGATGATCATATCATACATACAAACGCTAAACGGTCACCTAGGGTGCAGGAACATACTCGAATCTCTTTCCTTCTTCGTGCTCCAAGAGCTGAAACTCGGGAATCCCATTAAACCAGCCCCCCACCTCAGATCCAAGGGATTCCCGTGTGCTGGCCGCATTTACTGGATCAATAAGACGCGGTTTCAGTCCACGCGCCGCGGCGGCCTGGTCCACTACCATTTGGACCTTGCAGCACTTTTCCAAAGAGATGAAAAAGAAAACGGTAGATTCGATCGACTTGCCGGCAACGAGGATCCCGTGGTTCTACACGAAAAAGTCATGATAAGCAGGTGAGAATGTTCGATCGAGCTCTCAAAGATACCTGGAGGATGACAGCCTAGAATCTTATAAGCATGGGCACATGTAAATTAACACATCTGCGAACCTTCTTCGAACCCAGAGCATTCGCTATAGCCAGACCTTCCTCGCGGTCATCGACGATACCACGAAATTGGCTATACAGAGCATGATCCTATGGATTCATTTTCATTGAATGGGATATCTCTTGAAGAACGAATGAATGCGAGATCACCTCATAAAACGCACAGCTGTCCTGAGTAATGGGATCAAGAGGCACCCCAAGAGCGCCGAACGCCTTAGCATACGTAGTATGCGAATGCGCAGCGCAGATAGCATCCGGACGAGCTTCATGAACCGCTGAATGGATCATGTACGCGGCCCGGTTGAGGAACCGGGAAGGTCCAGATTCATTTTCTTGTATCTTCCCTCCGTGGTCCACGAGAAGGAGGTCCTCAGGCTGCAGGAGCTTGAAGTGAATGCCCTGTTGCAATTTGGTGAGTGATGATTTTTATTTCGGACACGATAATCAATCACCCAGGGGTTGACCCAGTAACAATCTGGTCTGATCGGGTCCTTTCGATAAAAGCAATTAGGACTGGCACGCACACTGATATAAGCATCACTCTTACCCGGACAGTGATATGTCCAGCGACACCTTCATCATAACCGTACTTTGCTGCATTGACACGATAACGATGGGTACTTCTTGTTCCGATTAAACCAAATGGAGCTCACCAAAGATACGATATGCTTGAGCCAAGCGGAATTTCAGGAACGCCCGATGTTCGAGCGGGTCAGAAAACGTGGGAGGAGCTGGTATGATGAAATTCTTCCCAACATTAAGCTTGCTGGCGTCTTTGAATGGTGCGGCCATAGTAGTAGATTGTGGAATTACAAACGGAGTTCTTGTACTTGTATTTGACCCTGCCAGCGAGCGCTCGCAAGCTTCTTTATCGTCCGTCATCATCATCACGAAAGATCCGACTTGCCCCAGATGAAACAAATAGTACGGTACTATAACGGTACTAGGCCCGTAACCAGGCTCCTACCCATCCGCAGCCGGAGAGGTTTGAAGACGGACTGCTACTAATCTGAAATGTTGTGTTATAAGGTTGTGTTATAAGGTTGGGCTGGGTTTGAATTTTCTAATGCTGATGTAACACAACAGTAGCAGTCCTGCGGACGGGTAAGAGCCTGGCCCGTAACTAGCCTAGGCATTGATCACAAGCCAGCTGACATACATACAATGTGATCTCCTCGGGCCGGCCAAGATACATAATCGACCCCTCCTTCGCAGTGAATCGAATCGCACTTCTATTTGGCATTAACCAAGTACATGAAAACACAAAATCGAAATAATAAAAAGACAAAAAAAAGGTAAACACAAACACAAACACAAACGTCAAGATTAAAGAGCCATCGTAACGCCCAACAACGCAGGCCACAGGATAAACACCACCCGGAACTTGAGTTTCTCGATATCGATGCGGCCCGCCGCGCTGTTCCTAGAGGGTTGATCGATGGTCCCGACGTCGCCTGGACGGAGGGGTGGTATCACGCTGCCTGGCGTTGATGTTGAAGCTGAAGTTCCAGACTCAGAAGGTGCCAGCGACAGTGACGGTGTGTGAGTCGCCTGAAAGAACAGATTCTGGCTCGTAGACCTCGAACTCGCACTAGCATTCGTCGGTGTCGGAAGAGAGTCGCCCTGAACCACGATCCCAAAGTCCGCGCTGTAGATGACCATATCATACGGTATACTCGTGAGGTAACGCAGAGTGCTAAGTGCAGGAGCAGATATAAGCATCCTCTCGTCATCGCACCCAGTCAATCATACATACAAATTCGAGCCAGTATGCAGCTGCACAAGACTCCTGGGTATATCCAACTGATAAGACTTGACTCCAGGGCTCACGTTCGTAGCGAGTGTCGCGAGGTACGTCTGCACAAAACGTCAAGTCACCTCTTGCATTATCCAAGAAAACTGGAACGCACGTCAGAATCGCAGTATAGCTGTATAGTGATGCCCCCCATGTTGTTCAGCAGCGGGTACGTCCCGTCATCTATCCATCCCGTCAGAGCGGTCTGTCCAGCGTAGTAGACGGTGTTTTGGATAGGTTGGGTGGGGTACAAGGACGCGGAGACTGGCGTGAGGAGGGCGAGTAGCAGTATCACGGAAAACATCGACACGCCGTTGAACATCCTGAACTTTTCAAGTTGGTGATGGAATCTGAAACCCGGTACGGACAATAATTAAGTATATGACAGACCCGCTGATCAGTGCACTGGCGGCGAAGGAATGAGGGTTCCCGAGGACGAATATGACAATATGGACAAGTGAACGCAGCGAGAACAACACAAAAGTCAACTTGGCGAAAAACGCGTCACATCACGTGCTTTGGTTTTACAACGATGATAAGGTATACGATTTCGATCTATCGATCGCTAGTTGGAAAAACGTAGAAGTTGAAACATAACTATGCTCGTAGATGATGTATCTCTTAGTCTTGATCTATGAAAAAAAAACACGCCACAGTATCCAGAAAGTGTACGAGGGAGCGGGATGAGGAAAAATGGTTCTGAATAGGTGCGCGATGAAAAATGATTCGCAATGTTAAGAGGTTCCAACCAGGTGCCCGACGAGACGAGAGAAAAAAGAAGGAAAGAAAACGTAAATGAGAACGAGAACATAGTGAAAACGTTCAGAAAAGTACCGGCACAGCCATTATTAAAAAATGCATAAGAGGAAGAGAATGATAATGAGAACGAGAAATCAAGAATCACATCACATCACACGTTCCTTCTCGCGAACTGCACGAATCCAGATCTCTCCAGGACGACTACGAAGGCAAAATGAGTTCACAAAAACCCACCAAAAAAAAGAAAAGAAACTGACCTCTTCTCCCTCAAAATCCTATAAACGCACCTACTCCCCTTCTCCTTCTCAATCCTCATCTTCGACGTAAGGTTATCCGCACGAGGGGGGAACACACCAGGTCCGCAGCGCGCTTGGAAATCTGCAAGACCTTCGTTCGTGCCTTCAGCTTCGACGATCACAGTCCCGTACCAGCCAGGATCGATGAAAAAGCCTGCCACGTTCGGGATCGGAAGGCGCAGGTTTTGGCTGTGCGAGTAGGCGTGCGGGTGGTGCGCAGAGACCGGAGGTCGAATCGTGAATGAAGAACGGTGCAGCCAGTGGACGACGCTGTGCAGCGTTCCGTGGGGGCTATTTGAAACGATGTTAACATGTGATAGACTGGTGGAGAGAGAGGACTCACGTCGCTGTCGTAGCCCTATCCTGTATCAACTGCAAGTTCGCAGCGAGCTCTTGGCCCCAAGGACTAACATCCAAATTAACGATAGGATTGCCGCCCGGATTCAAAATAGGATTAACACCCGTCCGAATGACGCGGTGGAAATACGACGGAGAAAACGCCAGACTGTGGAAATAAGGAGACAGCTCTCCCATCGGCGAGTACTTGTAATCAAGGTCCTAGAACATGCTGTAAGCCAAATCCAACACGCGTGCAATAAAAAGAGGACTCACCACAAGATAACTCCCATCCCAAACCATCCTCCCCAAATTCCCCTCATCGCCTACAGCAACATCCCACACCACATCCCCAACCCTCAACATCTTCAACACACCGGCTCTCTTCAGCTCAGCTTCACACTCCACTACGCTCGAATCAGATAACCACTCTCCTTCAGGGGAAGGAACGAACACCCGCAAGAGCGGCGCACGGTGGAGTCGGACCAAGGGAGATTGGAACGTCCCCTTGGTCGAACTAGAAATCGAGGACGACTTGCGATGGGAATATAACGATGTCGGGGATGCCGTACCACTCGAGGGGCGCCGTGCTACTTGCCCGTCGCGTGTAGCAGGCCTCGATGGCACAGGGCTGACATGTGACCTCGCAACCGCCCTCGCTTCACTCTCAGCCTGCGCCCTCAACCGTAACACAACCCTCGTATACGCACGAGTGGTCATAGCGAGCGACAGAATATCCGGGACGGTGAATTTGGGACGATCTCCTGGGGCTGCTGGGTTGGGGATACGGGGCTGGAGATACGCGTCCGCCAGTTGAGCATATTGGTGAGTGGGCATTGAGACACCTCGCATGTAGTCATTTAGGTCCTTTGATTTGCGTTAGTACATCACATCATACAGTGTGCCGAAAGGGGACTGACCTTCAAAGACAGCGCAAGCGGCTCCGCCCACTCGAAGCTCCACCTCTTGTACCCAACAGTTCCCAAAAACTGCTCGAGCACATACTCTCTCAACACCCGGCTCTCAAACACGGCCCTCACCTCCTTATTCGCCGCATACAGCGCGCACCAATCACTAAACGTCAAATACTCCAGGAGATGCAGTAGAAGCGACGCGTCGGCGAGATGCGAAACGATAGGGTAGAACGAAGGAGGCTTCCTAGCGAGCTCTTCTTCCAATCGTTGCTTCTCTTCAGCTTCTTCCTTCAGAAGCTTTTCTTCTGCTTCCTTCTCCATTCGCTCCTCTTCCTCTCTTTGGCGCGCCTCTTCTTCCATTCGTCGCATCTCCTCCGCTTTTCGCAGACGGACAGCTTCCTCTTCTTGAAGAAGTTCGGCTTCCTTGTTCATCACTTCTTGCTGAACGATCACATCAGCGACGAGAGGAGGACGCGTCTTCTCGAGCCATTGTCCTCGGCGCTGGGTCCGTGCGGATACATAGTCTTCAGGGGACTCGGGGGTTAACGGCGACTTGGGCCTCGCAAGAAGAGGTGACTTGGGCCGTGAGGGCGTCACCGGCCTCGCCACCCCCTCATCACTTCCGCAGGACTTTACAACCTGCACCCCCTCGACCTTCTTAAATGGGTCCTCATCCAAGAATAACGCGTCCTCCGAAAACCCCTCCATCGATACTTTCTTAGATAGTAATTTGGTCGGCACCGAAGGCCCAGAAGTAGAAGAGGAAGGAGTAGGAGGACGTGACTTGGTCAACACGCGAGGCTTGAGGCTTTCTTTACTCGTCACTCGGTTGAGTTTGCGCAGCGATGGAGGGACAGCGTCTGATAAGACTCTGATACGGCTCTGGGGAGGTCCTGCGTCTGATGATCGGCCTATTATGGCGTCTGATGAATGCCCAGATCCTACGTCCAATGAAATACGCCTTCCAGCTCCAGCCGCAGTCGGGCCCGTAGCTACAAAGCGTCCCTGTCCCTGTCCCTGTCCCTGTGCAGAAGTCGAAGACGGAGTGATACGCTCCGATCCCCCGCGCACCAATCCCACACGCTCTGATGTCAAAGGTACCCCCGTAGGTGCATATGTCAGAGGCACGGGTGCGCGCTCCATGGAAGGCACGGATACACCAAAAGGCACATTAACACCCCTCCCAAGGTCTAGAGTTCTATACTCCGCGGGAGGAGACGGGTAACCAAGTGTATCATGATCTGCACCACGCCGCGCTGATGGTGCGGAGATGTGCGTGGCGTTCACAGAGTTGTTATGTTGACTGATAGGTGCTTGCGGGTGTTGGCGTTGGTTGGTGATAATAGGTGCTTGTGGGCGTTGGCTCCCAGCGAGAGGTACATTTTGTTGTTGAATGATGGATGAGCGCTTGTTAGTCATTGCTGGGTTTTGATTGGGCGAGATATTTTCTCGTTGTCCGATGGGCGCCTGATCGATGGCCATAGCAGCGAAAATCAACGGACCTTTCCGGATTGGAGCGGCGCTGAGCTCTATCGAAGTTGAGCGGTTCGAGTTGAGCTGAAGGGGTTGGGTGCCCTGGCGAGGGGGTATCACGTAGTTGCTGGGGGGCGGGCGAATGGTGGAAGGTGCGCGATGGGGAGTAGTATTGGGGGGACGAACGGTAGAATGGGGACGGGCAGTAGCGGTAGAAGATGACACTACCGACGACCGAGCTGTGGTAGAAGACGGCGGGACGGCTGTCGCTTTGGAACGAGTAGTATTAGATGATCGAGTGGCAGTCTGTGTCATAACAGTCGTAGTCGTAGTTGGCATTAAGTTTCGTTGCAAATTTTTGTCTGGCAGCACGGGGGAACGTGCAGACGGAGGGACAGCAGACAACGGACGAGTCTGAGTCAAAGTCTTACTAGTAGTTCGGACGGTACTAATAGCAGCGGGTACATTCGCGTCGGCAGGCTAACAAAATAGGTTAGTCACTGGTGCCAATAAAAAAAATGAAAATGAAAGGAAATTGTATTAGTACTCACGGAGGTGCCAAGGGATCTAGAAGGGGTGCTAACCGGCTTAATAAGGTTTGTCGCCAATCTTTGTTGTTGAACCGAAGTAGATTGTGATCGACCTTGAGGGCGCGTGACGTCAAGGTGCTAAAGAAGACCAACGTGTCAACGGCATTCGAAGAACGGAGATGAAGTGGATTTGGCGCAAGGCGGGAGTAATAGACTCGTGTGTCGACACTGAGGCAGAACGTGTGGGACTAAAAAAAATAGCTTACCTTGATAGCCGGAGCAATTGAGCTGGTGGACGTAAACGCGCTTGAAGAGGAGTTGGTGAAGCGAGTTGCATCTGTATGATTACTGCTACTGCTTGAGCTGGAGCCAGGTTTCGAAGGAGGAGGAGAGGTGATTTGAGTTTGAGAAGCCGCCGGGGGATATGAAAGGACCTGATTTGCTTGTTGTGGGGGGTGGGTTGCGAATTTTGAGGGGTGCCTGGGTGTCATAGGGGAGAGGTGATCTTGTCGTGTGGAAACAGCACGGATTGGGTGTGCGTCGGGGTCTGTGAGACGGATGAATACACGATGATATTATGATTAAAGAAAGGACATACCGGCGAGTTTTACTTGAGGTAATAAACCGGGACCTGTATACTTGCGGCGACCGACAGGTAATAGTAAGGGGGGCGGCTTTGGAGGTTCTGGTATCTTGTGGGGCAAAGGTTGACTTGGAGGTTCTGGTGAAGGTGAAGGTTGTGGTTCTGCCAGGACTTTCCAAGGATCCCATTCATCCTGTGTGGGCATTGTACAAGAATCCATTAGAGAAGAGGATGTCGCGAATCTAGCAAAGAGAGGTGGTAGTGAAGGAGGAGGAGAATCGAGTGGAACGGGTTTTGACGGTGCCGGATGTTCTACATCAGCGTGCTTCCTAAACTTGCGCAACAAACCGGCCATTGCGAGGTGATGGAAGTACCAGTACAAGAAAAACAACGAGCGTGGTTTTAGTTAATAATAATATTAAAAGGAAAAGGTTTTTGAACGTGCCGAGTTAGAGAAACGACACAAGGAATAGCACTCATCTTTGGTCACGTGATTATCCGTTTTAAATCCACAAGATCGTCAATCCAATTACCTCACTCCATTCCGCATCTTCTCTTCCCGGTCAAGCCGGTCATTCAAGAATTAACCAGGCAAATCGGTCAAGGACGTCCGACTACAAGTTAACTGTCAAATGAATGTTCAACATTCTCCCGACGTGGAATATAATATAAAATATTCAAATTTAAGAATGAAGGACTTACGAACTCATCTCAAACTCGATCACATCATCTTCTATTCGAAAATCCCATTTTAGACCGACCCTTTGACTTCTCGGAATTCATTACCTTCACTCTCTCGATATCCGCACGAAATCTAATACACAAACTCGTCTCTCCGTGTTCCTAATAAACGCTGTGCACTTTGATCATCATACCACCGCATTCGGTCTCCCCTGTTCCCGGGAACAGCCCACGCCCAAACATAGACTACCCGTGAAGGGCGTCCCTCAATCATACCATCATGATCATCAGATAGGAAACAGAAATGCCCACCGAGAACGGGAAGCGAGTGAGCCCGAATCCGACTCTCTTCGCGATACATTGCGGATGCGATATCGACCCGTGAGTGAATCGACTGGTTGTACGACTGCTAATAGTCAAAGCGTTGCGTACCGGTCTTCCTACGATATCATATAGCCGGAACCCCCTAACGTGTTCGCATGCAAGGATCCGAGTAACAACTCCAATGCAGAACCTTCAAGTTGCGCCCAGGTATATATATCTAGCATCAGAGGCATTCATCGATGCATCATTTACCAAGAGATACGCTCTTCCTCACCCCCACCATGACGCAAGACTATGAAGACACCACTTGCTCGAGCTTAATTAAATTAATGTTGGTATCCCCGAATAGTGCCACAATGAGTCAAGAAACCAAATTCGGAGTCAACGTCGAACAAAAAGCTATGCTGATGCCGATACAAGTTGCGCCTTCCATTCTCTATGCCTTCTCTAATAATAGTGTTTCGCAGTGCCATGGTACCGGCACGTTCTTGTTCGCGTTCTAGAAATATTAATGCTGTCGGATGACCTCGTTGACGGATGGGGATGAGGCCTTGAGGATCGGTACTAGTACTAGTCTTCACGGGCATGAATGCCCGGAACTATGGTAGTATATACACTAGCGTAGCCACTGGCAGTTCGCCGTGTTCGTATTCGCGAGCCCATGTGCATGCAATTGAGCTCTACATATTGGGTGTGGTGGTTTCGTACGCGTATCGGTCCATACCGGCATCAATCACGCCTTTTGCCAGAACCTGCCTTTGGATGCAGGGCAAAAATAACGTAGGATACAGGGCAACAGGACTCTGGGATAGGCGAATTGTGTAAACGTCACGGATGTCGAGCTTGGGAGACCAGTAGACGAACTTGGCAGTGTCATTCAAGTTTGTTGTATTCGAGTTCTCAAAAGTTGATGCGCGCTAGTAAGAAGACGGAATCTTTGGTAATCGCTTCATGTCAGTAACCGCGGACTGAGAGTTTGGAAGAACGGTGGTGATGGTAGACAACAAGGTAGCGCCAGTGATTCGGTCAGCACGTCCGACAGTTTCAGCCATTCGTTTGAGTCGACTCGTGTGTAAAAGCGACAGAAGGGGTATCAATCAGCCTCCCTTTTGCTATGGCATATCCTGTCGCGATATGAGAATAGATATTATATCAGAACATTTACCGACAACAAACGCACGTCCTGAACCAGACAAGTTCTCAGAGAACTTGGACCCTGGGCTCAACTGCCAGTGAAGTTTGGCCCTGATTGGCATAAGCCTCTCATCCTAACAGATACAAACAACGCCTTCGAAAATCTATTTTCAGGTGCCGCCATGTAGTCCTCGGGAGTCGGCTTGGAAGACAGGATAAGATCAGATGACGGAGCTTCCTTATCGCACGGATCAATTTCACACATCAAGCGACAACAACACAAAAGAAATACAAACCCTCTTTCCCAGGTCCGCCGACATGCGTCCGTATCGTGACTCGAACTGCGACTGCGGCTAGCACGATACAAACATCTTACGTCCACCGACCTACAAATAACATTCCCTGACACCCGTGCGCTCCGTCTTTTTGCAAGGAACGTTCGCCGCTGCGAAAAGGCACGCCTCGAGGACTCACGGCTTATGATTCTCCTCCGACTTAATCCCACTTGTATAGGTTCCAATCTACTTAAGTATGTATTGTGATCGTCCATGTGACGCGCGTAAGGGGTTTCCCTTACCTCATTCCGCACCGCGCCTCATCCTCCCGGACGCTCCACCACTCCGCGTTTGGCATCACACCTGCATCATGGCGATGTCACGGCCACCCAACTAGCTCCCAACAAATCGGTCAACTCAAAGCGGAGAAGCCCTTTGATTGAAGAAGTCTTGATGATGGCGGATACGTGCCATCTTCGCTCAAGAAGTTTTATCCATCCATCAGACCCGCCGACATATATATATATATGTTATTTGTCAAATCGGAGGTGTCCGAATTTCGAAAATGATAGATATCGTGAACGTACATAATCATTCTACCAATTCGACAATTTGAACAACTTCGGAATGTAATTTAGCTATCGATGATGATTAACTGACCCCTTCCAAGTGTTTGATCATCACCGGAACAACACCAGTTCCTCCGTTCCTGTTCCTCCCAAAAGGCAGTTGCCGCCGCCATCATCACCATGAAGTAATTGTCTGATAGGAACATTCGATAATGTATCCAAGGGCATCGATAAACCATACTCTCAAATGAAACGTCTCGCAATATGGGCTTACGACGCGATGGCGGGGCATTCGTTCATTATCGCGTTAATGGCTGACTTACAATTACGGTATACTGAATAGACGATCAACGATCTTCGCGACGCAACAAGGGCACCTACGTACGCATCGTCAAGACGTCTTACACATCGAAGTTTCATCTCGAGCTCAATCATATGATTCCTTCCCAGGATCGATGCGCGTTTGTATCATCATCGAGCGTCTTCTGCCCGAAGAACCCTCTTTTGGATGCTTTGAGCTCGAGTTGAGCTTGGACGGTATGACCACTTGGCGGTCTGGAACACCGGAACATCCTTCTCCGCCTTTATTGAAATGGGCCTCTTCTCTGGTGCCTAAGGTTCTGGGGAAGATCAAGGGATTGTACCTGGTCGAGTTTGGGTACTTGATGTCTATGCCTTAACGTTTATCCTGATAACCTTTCAGATCTAATGCGGACGCCGTCCTTTGGACAGTATCAAATGCGATATTCCGCCTTCGCACAACATCTAGTGAGCACGCAATCTAATCAAGTTAGACGATATTGAACAGGGGGATCGTCCGGACGAATAAGAATGCTCAGATTACTGGTTTATTGTTTCCGTTTTATTGATTGGGCTTCGATACTAACATGGGAAGCCTGGGCTGTCGGACTTTGTTTTGATGACCTCCTTGTTCCACGGGCTCACGAGAGATATGCATGTGCATCGTTATCATGTGCTCGCAAAATGCACGGTACCTAACCACATAGTCACCTGAACATACAGCTGCCCACCTTGGAAGACAAGGAGATTCTTCTCCATCCTCGTTGATCGCAATTGAGGTTTCTTCAGTCGATGCTTCTGCTTCTGCTTCGGACGAAGGTCTTATGTAGTACCTGGTCAGGTTTGGACGCAGCATGTCCAAGTATTAGTTCAGACTGATAGCCTTTCAGATCAACTGCGGATGCCGTCCTATATACAAGGTCGGGATAACATAAAGAATAGAATTAATTAGCTTCGCCAGTACTTACTCGTCGATATCCCGCCTTCGCGCACGAAATCTAATCGAACTCGAGGCCTCGAGGGATCATCCCGATGAATGATAATATTCCATTTAATCGCTCGTTTCTTTGATCGCTGTACACCACACTTCGATACTAATTCGCAGCCCATGCTATCGGGTCGTCTCCCATGTTCGGCATGCCCGAGAAACGTCTACGTCCATGTGCAATGTGC